TTTTTTGAGACAGGCTGGAGCTCAATGGCTAGGATTATAGGCGCCCACCACCATGCCAGGCTAATTTTTGTATTTTTAGCAGAGACGGGGTTTCATCATGCTGGCCAGGTCGGTCTCCAACTCCTGACCTCAGGTGACCCACCCACCTTGGCCACCCAAAGTGCTGGGATTACAGGTGTGAGCCACTGTGCCTGGCCGATAGATGGATTTAGCTAGACTATTGCTTTGTGAGAGCAGAGGGGCCCAAGAGCCTCATTCCCCATCTATATAACTCAAAGACTGTATGAGTCAGGGTGAGTTGGTTTCATCATGAAAACAACCACCCCAAACTCTCAGTGGCTGCAGGCGGCTGGCTCTCTTCCTTTCCCTGCCACATGTGTGCAGCAGGTCTGCTGGGGGCTGTGTTCTGATACTCAGGTTGCCCCCACAAACCCTCTGGAAACATTGCCATTCTCAGCGCCTGGGAGAAGAGTCCCTGAGAATTTCAACTGGACAATTAAATGCTCTAGGCCTGGAAGAGACACACGCCACTTCCATCCACCACTCATTAGCTAGAATAAGCCCATGGCTCCTCTCAACCATGAGGGGCAGGGAAGTCCCATCCCGCTGGTGCCTGGAAGGCTGAGAGCCAGAGTTGGGGAACAGTACTCCTGGCTATCACAGAGTGGAACCAGTTCTGAGGCTCCCAAACCAAGTTTTGAAAGCAAGGGGAAGCCTAATCTCATTACCTATTTTCTATCTTTTTTACCTATATAAAACCCAGGCCAATACTTTGGGAGGCCGAAGCAGGTAGATCACTTGAGGTCATGAGTTTGAGACCAGCCTGCTCAACATGGCAAAATCCCATCTCTACCTAAAAAAAAAAAAAATAAAAGATTAGCCAGGCATGGTGGTGGGCGCCTGTAATCCTAGCTACTCAGGAGGCTGAGGCAGGAGAATTGCTTGAACCTGGGTGGCCGAGGTTGCAGTGAGCTGAGATCGCTCCACTGCATTCCAGCCTGGGCGACAAGAGCGGAACTCCATCTCAAAAAACAAAACAAAACAAAACAAAAAACCCAAACCTCTCTTTATTAAAACATCCTCTCTCTATGTGTATATATTAAAAAGTCTCTATATGTCTATGTGAGAAAAAAAAATGTGCTCTGCTCCTTTCAAAACCAACCCTGAGACCCCTGGGAGTGCTAATGTTCTGCACTCACAGTTCCCCACCAGGCCCTGATCAGACCTGGTTCTAGGACCGGGGTTCTCACCCTGGCTTCCCTGTGGTATCACCTGGAAGCTTGTGAAAATCCCATGGACACCAGGCCTCACCCCAGACCAATTCTGTCAGAACCTCTGAGCTGGGGCCAGGCAGAAGCAATTCCGTGAAGCTCCCGGAGAGGCCTGGATGGGCCCATGGTGAGTCTGCTGTTTCAGGGAGGGAGGTCCTAAGGGAAGCCAGAAATGGGGGTTTGCCTCAACAAACCAGGAGCTGAGGAAGGTCGAAGAGAATTTGGTGATTACCCTGATTCGTGATTCCAGCTGCTTCCCAGTGGTGGGAGCTGGGAACGCCATGGGAAGCAGGTGTGGGAGGGGTTCCAGGGGGGTTGGAGTGCTGTCACTCAATGCCAGGCCCAAGCTCGGCTGCTGAGGAAACAGGAAGTGCATCCGGAGCTGAGTGCTCCATAAGTCCAGGGTATTCACTATTCACACGGACACATGCATGCATTCACACACATTTGCATGTTCCCATAAGCATACACACAGACGCATATACTCAGCCAGGTATGGTGGTGCATGCCTGTAATCCCAGCACTTTGGGAGGCCGAGGCGGGTGGATCTCCTGAGGTCAGGAGTTTTGAGACCGGCCTGGCCAACATGGTGAAACCCTGTCTCTACTTAAAATACAAAAAGTTAGCCAGGCGTAGTGGCAGGTGCCTGTAATCCCAGCTACTTGGGAGACTAAGGCAGGAGAATTGCTTGAACCCGGGAGGCGGAGGTTGTAGTGAGCTGAGATGGTGCCACTGCACTCCAGCCTGGGCAACAGAGGGAGATTCCTTCTCAAAAAACAAGCAAATACACACACTCATACACACAACCTCACACACACATACACTCACATGGGTCAATACACCCCCACATATACACACACACATTTACATACTTTGCCACACCTGTGCACACCTCACACACGCATGCTTACATGCACACCCACACACCTTTCTAGTTTCATAAGAAAGAGAAAGGTCAGACTCTTAGGGCGAATGAACCTCAGTCTTTGCCTGGTCTAATTCTCTCATTTTCCATATGAGGAAAAGAAGGTCTAGAGAGAGATCGAGAAAGGTGAAGAAGCCCCCTTGGTCCTGGTCAGGTATCTTTTGTTCCCGAAGGTGTTACTGAAGAAACACCAGGAGTCTGGTCCAGGTCTTGCTGCTTGCCACACAGAAAGCCAATCACTGGGAGTCCGGGCCTGTTGGCTCATGCCTGTAATCCCACCACTTTGGGAGGACGAGGCGGTGGATCACTTGAGGTCAGGAGTTTGAGACCAGCCTGGCTAATATGGTGAACCCCCAGCTCTATTAAAAATACAAAAATTAGCTGGACATGGTGGTAGGTACCTAAAATCCCAGCTACTCTGGAGGCTAAGGCAGGAGAATTGCTTGTGCCCACATGATGGGACCACAAGGGCTTGGGTCTGGGCACCTAACTCAAGCATCAGGTAAGGGTGACCTCAGGGCCCCGCCTGTGCACTGGCCTTGGGAAGTGGGTGGGGGTGGGGGGTAAGAGCCTCCAACCATGTCCAAGTCCATTATGACTTCATTTAAATAAATAAATGTGATGTTTCCTGTAGAACTGAATTTGTGGCTAAGATTCATACCTGCCACATGGGTACACACATCTAGTTATAGTGGCAACTGCTTTGCTTTTTGTGTGTGTATTTTGGTGTTTTGTTGTTGTTGTTTTTGTTTTGGGGTTGTTTTTGTTGGTGGTGGTTGTTTGGTACCGCTAGTTTCTAAATATTTCCTCCTCTTTGATGAAGAATGTGATCGGTGGCAGGTGGAAGATGGCCCAATAGTCCTGCAGCAACACTCACACACCGAGTTTAGGAACCACCCCTGTCCTGGGAGCTCAAGTTAAGACTTTGTCTTGGAACTGAACAATCTTGACATCCCAATTATACGAAATCAATTTAAATGAATTAGACAAATTACAATGCCTCCCTTGAGAATATCAGTTACGTGGGCAGTGGAGAAGGCGGGTGGAGGGCTCCTGTCTTTTGAGGTGGCTGCAAAGGTATCTGCCTGACCAGTCCTATGGAGACCTGTCCACACTGCCCCCTGGTGGTCATTCCATCACCCTCCAAACGCTCCAAAGTGGGAGGTGGCCCCAGGAAGCCCACTTCTCTCTCCCAGGCCTTTGGCAGCCCCTGCTGGAGCTGGCAGCAAGGAGGGCAAGCCCCAGGAGGCTGGAGGCTCCAGAGGAAGGGAGGACGAGGAGTCTCAGGCGGAGGGAGGCGAGCCCTTGGAGCTGGCTGCTTGACTTGGCAGAGGCTGCAGAGGAAGTGAGAGAGTATGTTAACCGGCACAGGAAGGTTCTCTGAGTTTCTCTGGCTGTCCATGGTGCAATGGTTTGCGTGAATCCAGGCTCCCACTTACTGGGTAGACTACTTCCAGCTCCTTATGCAAAAGTAGTTCCTGGCCAGACTCTGGCTCAGCCTGTCCTGGGACAGTGAGTCTGGGGCTCAGATGGGTTTCTGCAGAGACCTCTCTGTTCCTGCCTCTTAGGCTCTGGGATCACACCCCCAGTTCCTGTGTCCCACCTTGTGGCCCTAAGCTGAGGCCTGGCAGGTGTCCCTGTCAGAACCAGCCTGAGTCTGGGCTCCGAGTGAACCCCAGTCAAAAGCTTCAGTATCCCATGAGTCCACCGTTGGCTGGTTTTCTCCACAGCCAGCCTCCACTACCAGCGCCACCTCGCTTCATGCTGGCTCTAAAATGATCTTCAAGGACATCTGAATTTGCATATTTTATATCAAGTTCTTCTTGTTATTGTTTTCATAATATATTGCCAGATTTACTCATAATTAAACAAATTAAAACAACAAAATGATCTTTTTGCCTAGCAAACTGACAAAAGTGAAAAATCACTGGCTGAGCACAGTGGTTCACACCTGTAATCCCAGCACTTTGGGAAGCCAAGGCAGGCAGATCACCTGAGGTCAAGAGTTCGAGACCAGGCTGGCCAACAAGGCAAGACAATATAAAGGAAATTGAAGAAACTGTTGAAGCAAACTGTCATTTTGTCTGAGTATGTAAAATTAAAAGTGCTTTCCAGATGGGGTATTGAATTAGCTCAAGCTAATTCTGCTACAAGCTCCAGTGGAAGGCAGGTGTTCAGACTGACTTTCTTTTGCTATTTGCCATACCTTCCTTCTGCCACCTGTAAGAATCACTCTTGGTTGCACCAACGGGAAGGCAGTTGGCACAAATTCTGTGCATACACAGACACACAACATGTAGGTCCAGGACTCCCTGGGCGTGTTGTGACTATACCCCTGGTGCCAAGCACAATGCCTGGTGTATAGCAGGTGCTCAGTAACTGTTTTTGAAATGGACATTTCTCTCCACCTTAAGCCAAACCAGTAGACTCACTGCTACTAAGAGATTGCAAACCTCTGTCTCAGACCTTTGCAGAAGTGATGCCAAAGTAGCATTTTGTGGGTAGCATCAGCAATTCCCAGATTTTATGGGTCAGCGGGAGTTAGTTCTTCATGATGCCTTGAAACCTGAAGTGTATCTGTGGGACTGGCACAGCTGTAAGAAAGCCCTTTATGAGGTCATCATCCCCCACTTGCCATCTTTCTCCAAATGCAGACATGCAAGCTTTTAAAAACACTTGAGAAGCTACCATGCCTCGCTTTGCAAACCCTCTTTTCAGAAACATCATTAACAGAAGTCAATTTGATGGCATCAAGAGGACACAATGCCTCCAATATCTGAAAACCCTGAGAACACTGCAATATGATGGATTTAAGACCATATATTTTGGGGAAACCAGTATCCCAGAAAGTCTCGTAACTGGGGAAGATGTTAGTGATGGACATTACATGCAAACCCCAAGCTGGTGTATTGTTCACGCTGGGGGTAGTCAGGGATGGGTGCCTTGGCAATATCGGATGTTCCTAAGAGATGAGCTGTGTGTCAAACAAGAAGACAGCCTCTTCTCTGAGTTCTGTGACGTGGTGAGGAAGGCCTATGGAAAGTGTGTTATCGTGGTCAAAGAAAGAAGGCAGCAGGAAGAGCAGAGGCCAAAGGAAGACAGAGAAGCTGAGGGCCAGTTCTGTATCCCTGCAGTCATTAACTTAGCAAACACTGTGTGTTGCCCAGAGGTGGCCAAGTCCTGTGGCCATGAACTACTCTCTCTGCCTCCGCCCTGCAATTACCTGAATCCTTTAGACTCAGCCTGGTCTTGTCTGAAATGGTTTATCTTCAATAACAGAAAAGAGTTTTGTTTGCAGTCCATTGATGACGTCTGTTCTTACCAATATATACTTTTCAGCAGTTTAATTACCGAAGGGATTGAAAGGATAAACCCAAGCAAGTGGAGAACTTTAAGTAGCAGAGTACGGAGATGGGAAAACCACTATCTTGGGAAATGTTCTTAAGGGTGATTCCTCCAACAAACAGTGAGGCTGCTGTGTGTCGGATTCCACACCACTGCAGCCAGGCAGACTTCAACAGCGCCCTCACGCCGCAAGAACTGAGCGGTTCCTAAGGATGTTGGCAAAGCACTTTTTCTAGAAGTTTCATTAAAATTTGTTGGTAAGTTAGGGGTCTCGACTCTTATCTTGTAAAGGCTACTCTGAGGGCTCTGTCGGGGTGGACTGGGGCTAACCCAGCCCAAAGGAGGATGGGGGTGAGCAGTGGTGAGCCGGCTGAAAGGTTGTGTGGTCAAAATTTAGTTCTGAGAAGAAAAGAGAACCAGTGTACAGTTATCCCCAAAAAGTCCAAATTAAATAGGGTGCCAACCGGTTTCCGCCCACCAAAGTAATCCACAGGAATCCAGCTTGCCACGGGCGAGACATTGCCGACGGGCTGGGTGGCATGCATCTATAGTCCCAGCTACTTGGGAGGCTGAGGAAGGAGGATGACTTAAGCCAGGAGTTTGAGACCACGGTGAGCTGTGATTGTCCACTGCACTCCAGCCTGGGTGACCAAGTGAAACCCTGCCTTTAGGTCTGCCAAGCAAGACCCCCTCCTCCCAATTGTCCTGCCTTGTCAGCAAGGTGATGGAGGATGAGTGAGAGGCATCTGTAGAGGTAAAACTCCATCCAGACCCTCCAAGGGGAGTAAGTGGTCCCAATTAGGACCTGGAAAGTTATGCAGTGGTGGGTCCAGGTGGGCTATGTGGGCACGGGGTGGCACGCACGGGGGTCTGTAGAGACCACTTATCCAGCCAATCTCCCGGCCAACTCCAGGAATCCCAGCAGGTCCTTAGACTGTGCCATGGAGTTCCATCTCAAGACCCTGTAGCTGAGCCACTTGCAGTGGGACAACACCCACCCTCTTTAGGTTTGGGGCTGCTGCTGATGTCAGTTGTAAGGGTTTGTGGTTGTCTTTTTCACTTTTATAGAAAAAGGTTTGACCCCTATTAAACCTATCCCAAAATCCACTCTTGGTTATAATATGCAGAAAGTAATTTTACAATAGAAGTAATCATTCTAAAATGTGTAAGAATACCTTATGGCTGGGCACGACGGCTCACACCTGTAATCCCAGCACGTTGGGAGGCTGAGGCAGGAGGACTGCTTAAGGTCACGAGTTCAAGACCAGCCTGGGCAACATAGCAAGACCTTGTCTCTACGAAAACACTTAAAAGTAGCTGGGCCGGGTGGCATACATTTATAGTCCTAGCTACTTGGGAGGCTGAGGGAGGAGGACCACTTGAGCCAGGAGTTTGAGGCTACAGTCAGCTATGGTTGTCCACTGCACTCCAGCCTGGGTGACAAGGTGAAGCCCTGCCTCTAAAATAAAAAAAGACTTATAAATTTACATGGGATGTTGATAGCATGGTGGGTGGTGGGACACCCTCTCAATTCACTCAATTCTGCATGAATCTAAAAAAAAGGGGGCTCTAAAAACATAAGCTCTTTGAAATAAAAACAAGTCATAAAAATTTCTGAGCTGGGCACAATGGCTCACACCTGTAATCCTAGCAATTTGGGAAGCCAAGGTGGGAGGATTGCTTGAGCTCAGAAGTTCGAGGCCAGTAATATGGCAAAACCTTGTCTCTACAAAAAATACCAAAATTCGCTGGGCACGGTGGCACACGCCTATGGTCCCAGCTGCTCAGGAGACTGAGATGGGAGAATCGCTTGAGCCCTGGGAGGTGGAGGTTGCAGTGAGCAGAGATCGCACCACTGCACTCCAACCTAGGTGACAGAGTCAGGCCCTGTCCCCCCCCCCCCAAAAAAAAAATAGTAAAGAAAGAAAAACTTTCTACCCAACCCCTAACGGGCTCAATAAAATTGTAAGTCCAGGTTTCTGACAGCCAAGTGCAGAAAGCACCCCATCCTTTGCTTGGCTTCTTTCCCTCCTGAGCCTCCCTGTATTATTCAGAAAGACTTTGCCAGACCGAAGTGGGTGTTCAATGCTCTTCAGCAACTAAGTGGTTAACTTCCCAGGCACTTTGTCCTGGTTACAAAGGAAATCCTGGGAGCATTTTTCCAGGAGATGAATCACACCTCAAACAGCCAACCATTCAGAACTACCAAGTTTCCACTGTTCCAGGCCTCACTTGACAGCCAACAGTGCTGTATTAGTTTGCGGTAGGTAACAGTAACTCCCACATCACAGACAGTGGTGTGAGTTCAGCACATGCAGCTGTTGGTGCCTGCTACTCCAGAACCCTGGGAGGCGTGGAATAAACTCATCTCCCAAAACTTGGGCCCTACACGTGGGCCTGCACAATGACAGCACATTGAAGTGACTAAGGAGGTTGGAGTACCATGGTTTGCTCTCAGAGAACTTAAATCCTAAAATGTACATGAAATCCTGAGGGAAAAAGACCTCACAAATATACTACGCAATAGGAGTTGTTTCACCAGGTTAATTACCACAGGTTTGGTGGCTTAAAACAATTAAACCAGGTGTCGCGGCTGTGGGTGCAGGCACTCCGAAGGCTGAGGCGGGAGGATTGCTGGAGCCTAAAAGTTTGAGGCTACAGTGGACTCTGATCGCACCACTGCACTCCAGCCTGGGTGACAGAGCGAGACCCTTTCTCAAAAAGAAAGAGAGAGGGAGAAGGGAGAAAGAGTGAATCATAGCAAGAACTCTACCTTGAAAACCCCTAACCTCTGAGCCTCCAGAGAGATTGATTTGAATAATAACTCCATCCCCCGGGTGGCCTGCCTTACTTCAATTAAATTCTTTCTTTACTGGAAAAAAAAAAAACAAAAAAAAAAAAGAAAGAAACCCCTTCAATTTGTGATTAATCATCTCCCCCTAGTGGTATAGGAAAAGTAACAAAGCAAAAACAAAACTCCCAAATGCTCTTCACAAAAAACCTACACCTGGCCTGGGCAGTATAGCATGACCCTTGTCCCTACTAAAAATTAAAAAATTAGCACGGCCTAGTCTCAGCTACCCCGGAGGCTGAAGTGGGAAGATCACTTGAGCCCAGGGGTTCAAGGCTGCAGTGAGCTATGATTGCACCACTGCACTCCAACCTGGGGGACACAGCAAGGTCTCATCTCTAAAAAAATAAAACCAAAAAGAAAAACCAGCAAAGCCATGGGCACGATTGGGATGATCAGTGGTTTAGTTCCATCCTTAGGACATCTTCTACAAAATTTTCCAAGATGGCCAGATCTTCCACAAATACCAAAGTGTGGTATTAAATCCCAAAGCCTAGAAAAGCACTATGTTTAGCAGCTGAGTGTCTCCTGGCCAGCAGACCCCCCACCCTCCTTGGACTTAGGGGTTGCACAGGTGGGTGGGCATGAGGGAGGAAATGAGGAAATGGTGCTGAGGTGGTAGGTCTGATGCCAGGCAAGGCAGGACCAGGTGATGCCCTACACCCGCAGGATGGGCAGTAAGCAGAGAGGCCAGCCCCTGGGGCAGGAACATGGGCCAGGGTGGGCAGAGTGGCCTGCCAGGCTGCGGAGTGGCCCTGACACAGGCAGGATGGTAGGCCACGGCCCAGGGTCAGTTCCAGGCCCCATCTGAGCATGTCGTGGACGCGTGGGGGGCAGGTGGCAGAAAGCCAAGGGCATTCCACCCCTGCTCTGGTCTTCCATTCATGTTCCAACAGGACCCCAGGCCACAGCAGGATTAGGCAGAATAAAGTGGACAGAGCTCCCGGCAAAGGCTGGAGTGGCCTCCTTCAGAGAGGCTTAGGTCTGGGCTTACATGAAAGTCCGCTTCGACTCTAGTGAGCTCTGCAGCTTGAAGGACCAGGGTCTGTCTGTCTCCGGAACTTTGTAAATTCTCCCCTGCTTCCTAAATTGTGAAGAGCATCCAGCAAGCACGGTGCAATTTAAGATGCAACTCCAGACTCCCCACATGGAAAACGCAACCTGCTACCAAGCTGGGCCAGGATGGGTAGACATTTAGTAGCACACACTCCTGCAAGTTTCCCATGCAGCCGTCAGCAACCAGACCAAACACTGCACCCTGCTTCCGGCGCTGGCTGCTGCCGCCTCATTCCCCATCCACTCTGGGGTCTTGTGAGAAACGGGAGAGCATGAGCTCTTGTCGCAGAGATCTGTGTGTGTCAGGTGCTGGGTAAAACCTCTTCCCATCCTCCCTGCCCTTGGTTCCTGCAGCTCCTATGGATGCCTCATCCTTCATCTCATCAGCAAACCCCAAGGAGCAAACAGGTGGGGAGAGGACAAAGCACACCCTGGGGCTCCCATGATTCCCCGCTGCGAGGACCCTTATGGTTGGCACAGGAGCCGGCTCTCCTAGACATACACAGCCTCCCTCCACGCTAACAGTGAAAACATTCTAAAACATTCTCCCAGGGGCTTGGCCCCTGTAAGAAGGAAAGGGGATAAATGAGGGTCCAGGAGGGCAGCCTATGAGGGGGCCTGGGGTGGGGCCGTAGCTGGCCCAGGCACCCAGTGCTGGGGACCCCACTCCCATAGCAAATGCTTCTGCAGCACCTCGTCCTCTGTGGAAGCCTCTCACGTGGGACCCCCCAGCTTGAGATGGTACAGGAGGTGTAAGTTTACAAAACCCCTTCCTTTACAACACAGGGTGGAGGGTGCTATGTGAAAGGCAGAGAGAGAGAGGAGAGAGAGACAGGGAGAGAGATACATTTTGACTTATTCCAAAAGCCATAACACCTTTTTTAAAAAAGATATTTTAGTAAACAAAATACTGGTTCTTTTATTTATTTTTTTTTAATTTAATTTTTTTTTTTTTTTTTTTTTTTTTTTTTTTTTTTTTTTTNGAGATGGATTCTTGCTCTGTTGTCCAGGCTGGAGTGCAGTGGCACGATCTTGGCTCAATGCAACCTCCATCTCCTGGGTTCAAGCAATTCTCCTGCCTCAGCCTTGCGAGTAGCTGGGATTACAGACGTGTGCCACTACACCCGGCTAACTTTTGTATTTTTAGTAGAGACGGGGTTTCACCATGTTGGCCAGGCTGGTCTTGAACTCCTGACCTCTTAGCGATCTACCCACCTAAGCCTCCCAAAGTGCTGGGATTACGGGCGTGAGCCACCATGCCCGGCTAATACTGGTTGTTTCAAAAGCATATACAAATTTGCACTATTTTGAGTGAAAGGTCTAGGTTGGGAGTTCATCCTCTGATACACTGTTCAATAATTAAGTCTCTCTTCTCTTTCTTCTCAGCCGGAATCCACACAAGCTGACATTTACATTGCAGAATCTAGAAGGGAAAACCAAAGGGATGAGTAGGAAATGTTTGATAAGGGTATACCTAATGTTTTACTGGCTCAACATAAACGCCTATGCTCAGCCACTCAGACTAAACAAATGGACATCACGCACGTCTATCACTCAAGTCTATTTATTAATGAATGTATTTTTAACATCACGTTTCCCTTCCATCTGAAACCACCCCCGTTTTTTCTTTTGTTTTAAGAGAAAGTATCACTCTGTTGCCCAAGCTAGAGTACAGTACAAAATCTTGGCTCACTGTAACCTCCGCTTCCCAGGTTCAAGCAATTCTCGTGCCTCAGCCTCCTGAGTATGACTGGGATTACCGAGGCGTGTCACCACACCCAGTTAATTTTCGTATTTGTAGTAGAGACGGGTTTCACCATGTTGGCTAGGATGGTCTCGAACTCTTGACCTCAAGTGATCCATCCACCTCAGCCTCCCAAAGTGCGGGGATTACAGGCCTGAGTCACCTCACCCGGCCTGAAAACCCCCTTTGTTTGAAGCAAGGCTCTAGTCTTTAAGAAGCTCCCAGCCTAGAGAGGAAGACCCACAACCCGAGTTGGTTCTAAGCCATCCAGCCCTGACTTAACTGCAGGTCTCTGGTGATGTTTGTGGGAGGGAAAAAGCCTTTATGATCTTCCATCTCATCTTTTCTTCCTTTAATTAGTTTAACACATGAAATGAGGACTGTCAGGAATATAAATTCAATCAGCAGCGTTTTAATTTAAACTGCCTTCCCTCACCCTTTTTAATGTCTCTCCTCCCCATCCTAATGCCTACTCCTGAATTTGTCAATAAAACATCTTTTTGAAAAAAAAAAAAAAAAAAAAAAAAAAACGGAAATTAACTTCTAACTAGCAAAAGCCTACAGCTCACTGAGGACCAGCAAGTGGTGGGCAGATGCTGGAAGGGGTGACAGAAAGTGAGGTGTCCCTACAAGCTCACTTGCCTATATTCAGGAAGGCAGTACAGCCTAGGCTTGGGCCTCATGATTGAATGCATTTGATCTGGGATCAGTTTCTGATTCTGTTCTTCACCATGTACAGAGTGAGCCATTCTTTCAATCTGAACATGCCTCACAGAGTCATAAGGGCTGAATAACACAGTTGTGCATGAAATGCTTGGCCAAGTCCCCAGCACAGAAGAACCACACAGTAGGTGTTGCTACTATTCCTCATCAGTAGGCCTTTAACCTCAACAAGTCTGACAGCACTGCAAAGGAATTCCTACTGACAGAAGCATGGAATCTCAGAGTGGGCTGGGTTTGGGGGGTCACCGAGCCCAGTGGTTCCTACAATGACCTGTTGCTGAGAAGACAACCTAAGGATTCCCTAATGGGTTTTCAAAAGAACAGAGGCTGGGCACGGTGGCTCACACCTGTAACCTCAGCACTTTGGGAGGCTGAGGCGAAAGTATTGCTTGAGCCCGGGAGTACAAGACCAGCCTTGGCAACACAGCAAGACCCCTTCTCTACTAAAAAGTTTTTAAAAACCTAGCCAGGTATGGTCGTATGCTCTGTAGTCCTAGCTACTTGGGAGGCTGAGGTGGGAGGATTGCTTGAGCCCTGGAGGCTGAGATTGCAGTTAGCCGAGATGATGCCACTGCACCACTCCAGCCTAGATGACAGAGTAGGATCCCGCATCTTAAAAACAACAAAAAAAAGCCCAGATACCGAAACCTAACCAGAGACATTATGGAATCTCTCTGGGTTGAAGCCTGGGAATCTTCATTTTAACAAACACCTGGGCAATTCTGATCATTAGCCAGGTCTGGGAAGCACTGACCTAGAACCCCCACCACTGCCACATATTTGAATGCCTTTTTTTGTTTTGTTTTTTGTTTTTTTTAGACAGGGTATTGCTCTGTTACCCAGGCTGGAGTGCAATGGTGTGATCATGGCTCACTGCAGCCTTGAATTCCTGAGCTCAAGCAATCTTCCACCTCAGTCTCCTGAGTAGCTGGGATCACAGGCATGTGTTACCAAACGCAGTAAGTGTGTGACTAAGCGTCTTTTTTGTTGTTGTCGTTTTAGTTTTTGCAGAGACAGAGTCTCCCTATGTTGCCAGGCTGGTCTTAAACTCCTCGGCTCAAGAAATCCTCCCACCTCTGCCTCCCAAAGCACTGGGATTACAGGCACGAGCCACCACACTGGCTGAATCCTCCAATTTTTAAAGTACAAAACTCAACCTGCAAAGTGAAGAACCACAATCAAGGTAGCTGTGAATTGTCAGGTGCTAAATCTGTAACAGGGGCTTAACAGTAACTTTCTGGTGCCTTGATGTATTGTAACTCCCCAAGTATGTTCTAAGCCCACCAGTGTGCACTGTGACAGGTGATAGCCACTGGGTGACAGCAACGAGTGCGCCCTCAGGCCTGGTGACGAGGTCCTTGGGAAGAACCTAATGAGCAAGGCCAAAGGCCATGGTGGCCGAGGAATGGCCTGCGGGGAGTGGGCAAAAGTGGCAAATGAAGTCTGGGTTGGGGCCAGACTGGGAAGGGATTTGTTTGTCATGCCAAGGAGTCAGACTTTATCTTAAAGATAACAGGGTTTCTTAATCTTAGAATTTCAAATGACCTTGACTCCTCACATCTGCAAACTTCTCCCCACACAAATGCAGATGGTTTTAGTATATGCTTCTCTGGGAAGTAGGTCCAGAGCGTCACTAAGTCCTCAATTCTTAACCCAATACCTGTGAAGAACCACTGCACTGCAGGTTTCGAGAAGGATGAACTAACCCTCTGTGAGCCTCGGCTCAGCAGCATTCAGATTCCAGGCCCAGGATCTGCACACCTGGCCCTTATTGAGAACAGGTGAGGCCACATGTCCCCAGGCAGCCCTTCCGACCCGACGGACAGTGAAGCCTCAGGCCTCTCTCATTCATTCATTGGTCACCCCACTGGCCAGCTCCCATTTGCAAGGTCCGGTAACTCACCTTCAGTTATCTTTTTTCTCTGATTGCTTCTTCCTTTCAGCCTCCAGTTTTTGTTGTTTTGCTTCCAATCTTTTTCTTTGGTATATTTTCACTCCAGCAAATGCCATGCAGAGAATTAATGTTTTTGCTGCCAAGATATACAGCAGCAGGGGCACATGTTCAAGAACCTTCAAGAGGAAAGAAGTCATGCTAAATGTTCCATCACTGATATGAGAGGTTTCTTTTATGTTCCTTCAGTCAACAAATATTTACTTAGCACCTATTCTGCAACAGGCACGAGGCTAGGAGCAGAGGCTACACTGGAGACCAAGCAGAAAAGGTCTGCATCCCCACGGGGCCGACAGTCAAGTTACAGCTCTGCTCTTTGTGGCTTGCTTACGACTGGCTTCATGGAGAGGACCACCAGTCAACTACCAGCGTGGTGACTCTGGTCTCTCTCAGCTCAAACCGTGCAACCTGCCGATCACCCAGGCCCTTGCTTCTGAGGCAGCAGCCAGATCCAGTGAAAGAAGCTGGAGCCCCGAGGCCTGGGTCACAGCTCTACTTTGCCACCAACTGACTGTGCGACCTGGGTCAGGCAATGGGCCTTTCTGAGCTCCTGCCCCTTCATCTGCAACGTCAAGGTGAATCAGACCTTGCTTCTGGAAACCGCAGCTTGTGCACCCTGGATTTTCTCTTGTTTCTAGAGACTCATTAGCACTGGCACTTGATGGTAAAATAAAACACAACAGAACTGAAAACATTAAAACATAGCTACTTATCAACTGCTCCTGCAAATCCATTTTCTAAAATAAAATCTAGGGAAAAACTGAATTTGAATTATTCACTATTTGTACTAGCAAGTTTTTTGTGAAATTCTACATATTGCAATAGTACCTCAAAGCAAATACCAGTTCCATACACACGGTTAGTATGACCTGAATGATAATTATGTGCTTTTTAGTTGATTAAAAATTCCTTCCCAAATAGTGAAAAGGTATGCTTTGGTTGAGCAAGCATTATTTTAGAGGACCAGGCAGCATCTTACCTGATAGGATCCCGTATCTTAAAACAACAACAACAAACCCAGATAAATCCTCCTGAGTAGCTGGGACTACAGCCATGCGCCACCACACCCAATGAAATCCTTATATTTCTGCCAATCACTTATTCTATGTAATACCAATAAAATGAGATTCTACTATGGGGGGTACATGTGCACTTCCCTCTAATAGTCTAACTGAAGTTGATCTGAACCTAGTTGGTGTGCACGAGATGCTTACAGAACCAAGGGGCTGAAAAGAACCTTCAGGGTGACCTAGTCGACCCCCTGGTTATATGAGCAAGGAAAGTAGAGCTCCAGGAGGCTGAGAGGCTGAGAGGTCACGCAGCTCCCTCATGAGTAGCTAGCTGGAAGGACATTCTAACCCCAGGGCCAGTCTCCCTTCCCTTCCACTGATGCCTGATTTTCAATATGCTGAAATTCAGGAAATCACAATGTATGTGGATGTATGTTCCTATGATTGTATCAAAACTCTTATGACTCAGAACTAGATGTGGATTTCGCACTTAGAAGCTGTAGCCATCAGCTACTGTCGACTTGGAACTCACGGCATGCAAAGTGCCTTACGCGTCTCTTTCCCTTTCGTCCTTAGCTACCTCCGTGAGCAGATGGATTGCCCTGACTGCAGGGGAGCTGAGAAAATGCAGAGGCGGGGAAGCAGCATTCAGCAAGGCAGGGCCTGACCCAGCTCCAAAGCCCAACTCTGTAGCATCACGCTGTCCTACTATGTATGATTCATTCCTCACACTCATCCACTTCACAATTACATTACGCAAATACACTGTGGCTTGGCTACTGAAATTTCCAGAGGCAACTGGACTCGCTACCTCTGAAATCATCTTACTGGTTACGTACGGGTATGCAGAAGGATATAGCGTGATACAACAGAAATGGAATGAAAATCACAGGAGGAGGCAGGGATGCAAATACTTAAATCATTTTAATTTTACTAAAACAATAAGAACACAAGAGCACTCAGTAATTAGCTAATAGTTTTCAACCACGAAATTATTTTAACAGTAAAGAATAAACACATCACGTAAACTTCAGAAAGATCACTCTGGCATCAGTATAAAAGACTGAAAATGTTCCAAAAGTGGAACTTTTCAACTTTTTACACTGGTAAATATGAGCGGCTTCAAATACTGACTTGGTTACCAGCTCTTCTTCCTTCCCTAGGCTAACCCCCTCCCTTCAATAACCCTTGAGATCCTCTGTTTTCTTGAAGGTTCACATTTTAGTGGTGAAGGTTTGACTCCATGCATACAAACCAGCTATGAAAAGACTGTTGCTGTATAAACTTTTTTTTTGCTAGGAGTTTCCAGGCTATCTGACACTGAATCACACTGGGAAAAGCTACTCTCTTCCAGCTTTCTCAGTCTCTCCGGATAAACCAATGGGGTTCTACTATTAATATAACAAAGCCCACATTACTGCCCATAGCTCCTTACAATCCAAATAGGAAGCCTAGCTTTAGCAATTGCAGGAGTGTACACTCTCATCCAGAAGTTAGAAAACCCATGAAAATGGAGATGCATCAGCCAACAGACGCAGGCAGGCAGGCAGGCTTCCGTGCCCACTTTCTTTTACAGACAGTGAAGAGGCACGGCAAAAGGCCAAAGTCTGGACGGAGAAGGAGGTAGAACAAGGGCGGCAGAGGTCAAGAACATTAATAGGCTAAAGCGAAGGGCCTCAGGGCCCCTTTCCTGCCCCTCTCCTAGGCACTAACCTTCAGTGGTGTGAAACCACTTCCTCTAATTTACTTTTAACAAGCCCCTTGTATTTCTTGAAACATGCAGACCTTCAGGGAGGAAAATGAATTCTACCAGGGTAGCCTAGATCTATATTAACTTTTTTTTGAGACTCCAACCAGCCTGGAGTACAGTGGCATGATCATGGCTCCCAGGTTCAAGCAATCCTCCCCCTCAGCCTCCTGAGTAGATGGGACCGCGGCACCTGACAGCTACTTTTTTCTTATTTTTTGTAGTGATGGGGTCCCACTATGTTGCCCAGGCTGGTGTTGAACTCCTGGGTTTATGTGATCTTTCCACCTCAGCCTCCCAAAGTTCTGGGACTACAGGCATGGGCCTCTGTGCCTGGCCTAGATCTACATTAATTTTTAAAAACAAAACCCCAATACCTGTAAAATGGGAATAATGAAGTTTTTAAATAATGAGGCTACACTTGTTGCTAATGTACAGGTAGTATTGACTGTCGCTGCCGGCCATGGCCCATGGAGCCAGAGGGGGAAGGCCTCTAGATGCTCTGGGGGTACACAATCCTCCAAAGAATCAACCTTCAACCTCTGCAGCTCTCTGCAATCAGGGTCCTTCCTTCCTTCCTTCCTTCCTTCCTTCCTTCCTTCCTTCCTTCCTTCCTTCGTTCCTTCCCTCCCTCCCTCCCTCCCTCCTTCCTTTTCTCCTTCCCTTCTTCCCTCCTTTCCCCTTTTTCCTTTCCTTTCCTTTTCTTTTTCCTTTCCCCTTTCCTTTCCTTTCTTTTTGACAGGGTCTCACTCTGTCGCCCAGGCTGCAGTGGTACAATCTCGGCTCACTGCAACCTCCACTTCCCAGGCTCAAGCAATTCTCCAGCCTCAGCTTCCCAGATGCACTACAGGTGCGCATCTCCATGCCCAGCTAATCTTTGTATTTTTTTTGTAGAGATGGGATTTCGCCATGTTGTCCAGAATGGTCTCAAACTCCTGAGCTCAAAGTGATCTGCCTGTCTCAGCCTCCCAAAGTGCTGAGATTACAGGCATGAACCACAGTGCCTGGCCTGGGGCCATTCATTTCTAACACTACGTTGGAAGGGGCTGTGTTTACATAAAGCTGCTCCATGGAAGCTATGGTGCTGAGGCTGGGAAGGTTTGGGCAGATTTTGTTCCTGATGGTAGAAAAAACTGTCACAAGCAAGACTGGCCAAAGGGTCAAGTGGGTTGGTGCCACTCCACAATTGAAGAAGAAAAGTCTCCACACATTGCCTTTGACCAGTGTGCATCAGCGACCAATGTGCATCGGCGACCGGTGTGCATGGGCGACCGGTGGGCATGGGTGGCCGGTGTGCATCGGCGACCGGTGTGCATGGGCAACTGGTGTGCATCGGCGACAGGTGTGCATCGGCAACAATGTGCATCGGTGACCGGTGTGCATCAGCGACAATGTCCATCGGCGACCGGTGTGCATGGGCGACCGGTGTGCATTGGCACCACTGGAACTTGAGAAAAGTGCAAATTCTCAGCCCCAGCCAGATCTGCCCAATCAGAAGCTCTGGGCATGGGGCCTGAAATCCTTGCCTTAACTAGTCCTCAGGGTGAGAAACACCACCTGGAAGCATTAGGTTTAATGCCTTGAACCTTGGCCCTTAGTACCAGTTACTGCCTCTCACCTCTACTGACTTAGCCACTGTGGTGGGCGAATGGCCCCCCTAAACCTCACCCCACGCTGCTTTCCGCTCCTTCCCCTCTCCATCCTCTCACTGCCTCTTCTTTCCCTCCCAGCCTTTCCACTGTGAGCTCTGATCCTCAAGGCATGCTAAACGAACTCTCCTATATCTTCCAACCTGTCACAGAACACTCTGCATCTTTAACTTATGCCAGGTCCTGAGGCCTCAGCCCTCCTGCAGGGCCTGCCACACCCCATGCCCCAAAGAGCTGGGGAAGATGGGAAAGCTACTTTCCTGGCTCCCTGGTCCTGCTTCCAGACCTTTCCAGTCTCTCCATGCAATAGAAAACCACTGGATGTTTTGAAGAAAATGCTTATAATAAATGAGAAAACACGTATAATAATTGAAAAAACACATATAAGAGCCTATGTATGAAAACACACCACACATACATACAGAAAAGGATGACTACACCAAGATTGTTAACAGTAGCCATCTCTAGATGGTGAGACAATGTATAATTTTTGCTTCATTTTAGACTTTGCTAAGTGACTACAATAAACGTATATTTTAGTGGCTGCTCTCTTCACCAACCTCCACCTCACCCTATCGACTTCAGGGACTTAAAAATGACATTCTCCTTTCTCTCTGTGAAACGTGACTGCTGACCTACTCTCTGGCTGCCCTTGAACTTCTGCTCCCACCAGTTGAGTCTAATGTTTCACAAGGGTCAGGTGTGTTTATTCGCCAAGCAATTTAAGTTGTACTTGACGCTATGTTCGATAACTTATTTAAACATTACACTTGTGAAATATGACTGTGTAAAACAAAAGTTTTTATGAAAGCCAAGTTGAATACTTTGAAAGACTCAAGTTTGAGCTGGAAAAAAAATGCTGTTGGCAAGACAACCGTAGAAGATTAGGGAAGAGCATGAAACAATGCTGTGTGTATTGCTTCCTAAGATCTTAATCCACTGTCTGAGTCAATTCAGGCTCCAACAAAGGGCCACAGACTGGGTGACTTATTAAAAAGATATTTGTCCCAGTTTGGAAGGCTGAAAGCCTGGGGGTCAGGGTGCAGTCCAGGTGGGTTCCAGTGGGACCCTCTTCCAGGTTGCAGATGGCTGACTTCCTGTTGTGCCCCCAACATGGGAGAAAGGGGTAAGAGAGCTCTTTGGAGTCCTTTGTGTAAGATCACTATTCCACACACTAGGGCTCCAGCTTCCTCACCTGATTACCTCTTACAGGCTCCAACTCCAAATATCACCACACTGGGCACTAGGGTTGCAACATATGAACCTGGGGAAACACAAACATTCAGTCCACTGCACCTACTCTAAAGAAACCAAAATGGGCTGAACACAGTGGCTCACTCCTGCAATCCTCACACTTTGGGAGGCTCAGGCAGGAGGACTGCTTGAGCCCAGGAGTTCAAGAGCAGCCTGGGCAACATAATGGAAGCCTATCTCCACAAAAAAAATGTATAAAAAAAGAAAGCAAAATGCAAAATTGCAGGTAAAGCTTTAAAGGTATAGTTTTTGTAAGAAGAGTGAGGAAGATTTGAAGTTAGTGAATGCACACAAGAAGAAAAGGCCTGGCCTTCTTCCGCAAGTCCAGTGAGTAAATGTACATTTATGTTTAACTTAAAATGAAACATAAATATTATGCTTTCACCTTTTTCTTTTTAATCAATCTACTTGTACAGAACTGTTATTCTGAATTTTCACAATCAGGAGGCAGGGAAAACCCCAAGCCATAAATATTTATGCTAACACTACACTGACTGAGAAAAGAATTTGTCACACCTGTACCTAAGAGGTGTGTACCTGAAAGAGGTGTGTGCCTGACAGTGGTATGTGCACCTGACAGGAGTGTGTCTGACATAGATACTGCACCCAGGGTGTGTGTGCCCAACAGGGGTATGTGCACCTGGGGTGTGTGTGTCTGATGGGTGTGTGTGTCCGACAGGCATGTGTGTCTGACATGAGTGTGCGCACCCAGCAGTGGTGTATGTTCCTGACGCGGGTGTGTTTCTGAATGGGTGTGTGCGCCTGGCGGGGTGTGTGTGCCTAAAACTATACTCACCTTCCAGTTCATTGTACAGCAACTGTAAATTCACTCCTGATCAACACAAACCCCCACCAGACAAGCACATGAGAGGCGGCTGGAAGGTCACGTCCAGGGAGCTGGAAGGTCTGATCTGGGCAGGAAGAAAGAAACAGGTCAATTTGGAGTTCCTAGGGCAGACCACCTTAGAAAGATGTCTCTTTGATGGAGAGAGGGCATGTGAACAGAAAGTGGGCATCACAGAGAGGTGGGCTGTGTCCTGATAAGGCGATTGAGAGACTGCTGGGAAGTGGACGGGCTGGGCAAAGGCCCAGACAGGACTGGTCCTCACTGAGCCGAAAGCTCTCCTCAGCAGCTCTCTGTAGCCCCCAGTGCCACTCCCGAGGGGCCACGTGCTCCCATCCCATTCATCTGTGGACCTAAGAGCCCACGTCTAAAATCTGTCCCTCTACCTGCTCCAGAACTAAACACAGGCTGTTTTGGGAGTGAGTGTCTTTGTCAAGTCCTCTGAGTGTTAATTAAGCTCATCTTGGTTTTTTCAAGGATTATCTGGAGGCAAGGGAATAAATGACAGGGCAGAAAAACTGTCAGATGCAATTCACATGCAGAATTCTCTCCAAAGCTTGAGGGAGACCTAGCAGAAGGCAGGAAGGAAGTGAGAAGGCAGGGGCAGCCCCAGCACGGGATTCACTCCAGGGCCTTGGTGGTCACCACTCTCAGAATATGCCACATACCCCAAGAGCCTCCTACATCTCTGGTAAGTGACTTCCCTCTGGGGCTTCAGTCCTATCTGTAAATGAAGAAAGGCGTCAAAGACATGGTGCTTAGTGCCCCTACTTTTTCTGGAATTCAATGCTTTATAGCACAATAATCATAGCTTAACTTTTTTGTATCAGACACAAAAAAAGTGGCTGAAGTGCTTAAATGAGTTAAGGCATTTAGCCCTCACAACTACCCCATGAAACAGCTTACTGTCTCCACTTTGCAGAGGAGGAAACAGAGCGCAGTACCACATCCAAGCTCTCACAGGTGGGCCTGGGACTCAAACCCATCCAGTCTGGCTCCGGGGCTTCAACCTCGGCACTATCCTGACGCAGGCAGTGAGCTTTGCATTCAAAAGTCAGGGAAACACTTCTCTTAAAATGCACTTACAGTTATAATTAAGAAAAGTGACTGAAAATTTCAAAGGCCTTTAGGATGGAGGTAAGATGAACTTCAGGCAAGATGATTTTTTAAAAACTTTCGGCCGGGCGCGGTGGCTCACGCTGGTAATCCCAACACTTTGGGAGGCTGAGGCAGGCAGATCACCTGAGGTAGGGAGTTTGAGACCAGCCTGACCAACATGGAGAAACCCTATCTCTTCTAAAAACACAAAATTAGCCGGGCATGGTGGCGCATGCCTGTAATCCCAGCTACTCGAGAGGCTGAGGCAGGAGAATCACTTGAATCCAGGAGGCGGAGGTTGCAATGAGCCAAGATTGTGCCATTGCACTCCAGCCTGGGCAACAAGAATAAAACTCCATCTCAAAAAAAAATTATTTTTCAATTACAAAGATATCTAAGTATAAAAAGTTCATTCCCCATGTATTCAAGATTAGAATATCTTGAAAACAAGCTAGCAGTTGGCACAACATAGCCAAGTTTTCCCCACGACTTTTTCGAAGTCAGATAAGCTAGCGATAGGAATTTAAATGGTAGATCTGTTTGACTGTAATGATGGTAGCTGAATTTCTCATTACCTTCACGTATACATGGCCCACTTATCTTTAAGGAGAAGCAGATTCTGACCCGCACTAAAGAAATATGCTCCTAACATGTTATAACCTGTTGCTACAATTTCCGCTTTGAGAATCTCTAATAATCTTAGCGATTGGCTGTGTTGTATATTAAAATGTTAAAGGTCTTATAAAGGTTATTTTTACAATTCCTGCTTTAACTGAGTTGTATACAAATACAGTAGATGAGTCTGGCTGTTCCCTCAAAATTTTCTGAGGCAAAACTGCATATCCAGTGAATTGATGTATGTAGAATATTGATTGCCAAAGTCAGGAATGAGAAATAGGTCCAACAATCTTGCAGGAGGAAATGAATGAAAAAGAATATCCCGTGGTCTGGCCCTCTGGAAAGCCTGTGCTGTGTTCACTAGCAATGTGACCTCAGACAAGTCACTTGGCCTCTCTCAGCCTCAACTTGCCCATCTGTGAATTCTCTTGCAGATTAGACTGTAAACACGAAGCACCATGGCCAGCACACAGAAAGCATTAAATGTCAGCCATTGCTGTTATACTAAATCTCGCTCCATCCACTACCGGGCATGCCAAGCTGAAGGACATAGACCAGTAGCATCCAGTGCAAAATGCAGTCATTCAAAGACAGCAGGGCATGGAATAAAGAACAGCAACCTGAGGACCAGGAGAACTGGAGACCTGAACTCTCCTCTTGGCGGCACCCATGGCATGGCATATGGAGCAAGTCATTAACCCTCTGAACCTAAGTGTGGTCATTTAAAAAATCAGAATCTAGGCTGGGCATGGTGGCTCACACCTGTAACCCCAGCACTTTGGGAGGCAGAGGCGGGTAGATCACGAGGTCAGGAGACGGAGATTATCCTGGCTAACATGATGAAACCCCATTTCTACTAAAAATACAAAGAATTAGCCGAGTGTGGTGGCATGCACCTGTAGTCCCTGCTACTCAGGAGGCTGAGGTAGGAGAAGCGCTTAAACCCAGGAGGCAGAGGTTGCAGTGAGCCAAGATCAGGCCACTGCGCTCCAGCCTGGATGATAGACTGAGACTCCGTCTCAAAAAAAAAAAGAAAAATCTAAATCTAAAGAACAATTCTGCAACTCTGGAATTCACAATTCACCATCCTTGCTCATATCACAGAACCTGACTGCCACAATATACTGACAGCCGCCTCAACTTCATACCTGGAGTGACAACATTCAACTCTTTAGGGAAGAAACATTTAAAGTCAACCCGCAACAGTAACAGAAGGGCTGTGGTGGGTGGGAAGCAAGAGTGAAGCACCCTGATCTGCCCTGCTCATTCCCACCCACTGCCTCTGAATTACCACTTCTCCCCACCTCCCTTCAATTGCATGCCCAAGCCAGCCATTTCCATAGCACCCTTCAGCCTTCGGCAAATGAGAACAAAAAAGCTAAAAGTATCAGTAAGCTATGTGCTTTGCTGCCATATGTACACCTGATGCAACATTAGAAACAAGAGACAGCTGGTATCTGAGGGTTGAACTGCAAAAGCCAACAAGATGGGGACTTTTTGAAGGGCATAAAGTCTACGAAGTGCAGGAAATTTTTAACTTTCCCTGGAACTATCCACGATCTTAGCTTAAAACTCAAAAGTAACAAGCGGCTTAGCTACAACTCCAAATATTTCTATTTCCTTCACTGCAAAAATAACTTGTCTTCCTTTGTCAGGCTTCTGTTAGAAACAAAAAAGCTATTCACTTATTTTGGTTAGGCCAACTAAAGCAATATGGATAATGTGTTGTCCACAATCTATTAATACCTTTTCTTCTCGCACCCCTAACAAATTCGAGGATCAGTCTATCACCTGCTGTCTCCTTCCAGCCACTAATCATGCTGCGCCCTTTGTCTGAACTTTCTGAAGCTGTTCTCATTCCCAGTCTCTACCTTTTTCACCCAACCCTCACCCAATCATAAATAGAAGTAGGTCCAGGGAGGGGGCTGCCAGGTGAACCTCGGGCATCACTTGCCCCCTCTACAAGGGGGCCTTGACCTTCAAGAAACCAGCCCCGCCCGATCTCAGCTACCCAGACCCCACATCTCAGCATTTCAGGGATCTGCCGAGGAGCCATGACAGGTTTCCGCCTCTCTTCCTGCTGGAAGCCCAGGCCTCGCAGAGCAACGTCGGTGTCTGTGCTCCCTGTGCAACCCTGGGCGAGTCGCTGAACCTCTCTGGGCCTCAGCTTCTCCTGGGTAACCCGGGGGCCAGTCCAGGGTCCTCTCCCCACCTGCCCCCCCTCAGACCTGAGAATGAGGGCCAAGGGCTGTCATCGCTTTCCCCGCCCTTCCAGAACATTCGATCGTCCCCCTAGACCCTCCCGGGACCAACACCCTTAGGCTTGAACCAATCCTGGGCCCCGCCCAGGCCGCGTGCCGGCCGGAACACGCAGCTCTGCGGGTTTGGCGGCGCCTGACTGCTGGATCCAGCAGGGGCGCCCCGCGGATGGGGCCTGGCGGCCTTCACCCTCCGGATCCCCGCCCCGGAGCGGCAGGGGGCCGGCAGACGTTTGTCTAAGAGAGAAAACTATAGCACAGGGCCGGCCGCGAGATCGCAGCATCCCAAAGAGATACTGAGTTCGAGTCACTCCTACCCCGACGTCACACACTTACTGCTCTTGGCGGCGGAGCCTCCAGCGCCCAGCCGCACACAAACCGCGACTTCCACTGGGAAAACTACAAGTCCCGAAACGCAGCACTCCGTACGCAGGCGTAGTGGGCAGGCGCAGCCGACCTTGGGGTGCACTACCCCGTGCGCAGGCGCAGTGGGCGCGGGCGGCCGTCCTAGGGCTCGCCGCTCTGTGCGCAGGCGCAGTGGGCCAAGGCGAGCCGCCGGGGCGCTGTGGCCGGAGGCTGATGTTCACTTAGGCCCCGACGGGGAGGCGCTGGGGTGTGGACCCGGCAGCCCAGGCCTGGGGGCGTGCTCTCGCTCTGAACTCACCTGAGCTGGATTAGAGGTTGTCATGGGACCCCTCCGACCCTCCGCTGTCTCGCATTCCCTGGGTGTCTTCTCGCTGCTGTCTGCAGCGGAGGACACATGGGTCCCCTTAAGAAGTTTCCAGATCTCTGACACCGTGCACGCATTTTCCTTCGGGGGAACGGTATGGTGCTCTGGTACTATGTTCCCAGATTTCTTCATTCAACCAGATGCTTCATAAACGCGTGCAGTTTGAGCCCACTCAGTGCTAGCGCCATGGGAGGGCACAAACTGGGCACCCAACACAAGGATGACGAAAGGAATGTGCATGGAGATACCACCATTTGCTCTGCTCACCCTCTAAGGATGAGGAAACTGAGGCCAGAGGAGAGTAAGTTGGCTGGCAATAGAAAACGCGCGAATGACAGTGGCCGAATTGAGATTGGAACCAAGGCAGTGTAACTCCACATCCCATCAAGACTCTGTGATTATGTTAGAATGACAGAGGGTGCAGAGGCAAGAACTGAGGGGTGGAGGGGTTGGCTCTGTTAAGGAAGTGTTCCTGGAGAAAGTAGCAGAAACAGCTTTGTTCTAAGCACTTAGTGACGATTGCCTAAGTCTCATACAAAGGCTGTAAGGGACGTGCTGTAATGATAACCATTTCACAAATGAGGAAATGGAGACGCAAAGAGATTAAAGTAATTTTTCTGTGGCTTTAAAGGCCGCCAGCACCAGAGCTGGTACTTGACCCTGGGTAATCTGGGTCTAGATTCTATCAGATCAGCCAATATCCTGGGCTCCTTTTAAAATAGCATCTGACTTATGCTTTAAGAAATAAGTGGTATTCATGTCATATATAGCCAGTAAGACAGGCAGAAGAAACTCTAAAAGCAAATGGGGTAGAAAAATGAACTAGCATTTTCAGTTGGTGGGTTGAAAGTGAAAAGCCCAGGTTTCGTGGGAGTGGATCCTAGAGTGGCAATCTTGGCAAATGTCTTCAACCACTATACACCCAACGTGCTTGGAAAGAGTCAGCATTTCTCCCATTCCCCCAAACTGAAGTTGGCTGATAACCCTCTATGTTTTCACCCTTAGTTTCAGTGATGAAATGTACTTAATTAGGAAAAACCTCATTTTTTTTTTTTTTTTTTTGAGATGGAATCTCACTCTGTCGCCCAGGCTGGAGTGCAGTGGTGCAGTCTTGGTTCACTGCAACTTCCGCCTCCTGGGTTCATGTAATTTACCTGCCTCAGCCTCCCAAGTAGCTGGGATTACAGGCGCCCAGGTATGGGGTTTCATCATGTTGGCCAGGCTGGTTTACAACTCCTGACCTCAAGTGATCCTCCCACCTTGGCCTCCCAAAGTGCTGGGATTACAGGCATGAGCCACCGCACCCAGCCAGAAAAAATTTGATTTTGCTCTCCATGTGTTTGTTTACCTGTGTCAGAGGTAAACAAAGCTAGTCACTAGTTATACCAGCAAGGATTAACTGAAATCATTAGCTCTTGCCAGAGGAAAGAGGCCCAGCCCAAATTACCCTTTGTGCAAAGGTAACTGAGTGGGAGCAGGGCTTGAGCAGGAAGGAAGTGGAAATGCATAAAAAGCGGGAAGGGGTTGGTCATTGTGATCTGGGTTTATTAATTGGCTTTTATCGAGAGAAGAAACAAACTTCTGTCTATAATGAGGGGGCAGTAAGTTAGAGCAAGGCATCCACTCAGCAAGGAGACTTTGAATGTTTGCATTTCAAAGAGACAATACCGTTCTGAATGGTAGAAGATTTACATATCAAAGGGGGAGAGAAAGGATTTATAATTGCAGACTTTCTAAAGTAACTGCTTTAAGAGAGGGATCAGGGGACTGTCTGCCAGTCACCAGGTTTTGGTTGGAACAAATAGTAAATTCTTCAGGCAGCATTCACTTTTCTCAGGCAGACACTTTAGCTTTCAGCCCTTAGAACCTATGCCAGTGTTTAAGTCTCTTAGTGTGCGAAGGTGGGCGAAATCATTTGTGCCAAGAGTCTGCAGTTTTTATAGGGCCATGGTTGGGCTCTAGTCAAGAAGAGGACTCAGAGGGGCTTGATAGTTTGGTTAAGGAGAGGATCTTTGTCACCTGATAGAAACCTCGAATTTCTGTCTAGATCCAGAGCAGAAGTCTGGGATTTAAAGCCTAATGGCTGCTCTAGGCTCTCTGGGATGGATGTTTCTGGGTGGGACAGCATTTCTGGGCTTCTGATCTGAGGAGGGAGGCTGTTCTTCCTACATCTGCTCTTGGAATATGGATGGCTTTCTCTAACACTGTACTGAATGCTTTAGGTGGCATAATTGCAAATCTGTTATTAGGAAGTAGATACCTTGTATATATCTCTGTAATTTTAAAGAGACAAATCTTGTGGTTGGAGTAAGGAGTCCTACAAGCGTGATCTGAAGAAGAGCTCTTTTTCTCAATTTTGTCCTAGTGCCCTGAGGCTTGAGGCCTTGCCCATCATTGCTGTGCCTTGGCTGGGGCATCAGGAGAACAGGGTAAACTAGCTATGGAATGGTGAGGCCCCGCATCTCTCTGCTGCCATTGACCTGCTCCTCTCAGCTCCTCTGAGAAAGAAGACCTTGACCTGTGTTAGACATGCCCTCCTGTCCCTGTGCTGGCTGGTCATATCCCTTTTTCATTGATCTCTGTTAGGACTTTGTCACATTGTACCATAATGTTTAGCGTCTGACTCCATCTCTACTGTATGAGTTCCCTGAGCTTAGGGATCCTGTGCATCTTTTTGTTTTGTTTTGTTTTGTTTTGTTTTGAGATGGAGTCTGAACGCTGTCACCCAGTCTGGAGTGCAGTAATGCAATCTCGGCTCACTACAACCTCCGCCGCCCAGGTTCAAGCGATTCTCATGCCTCAGCCCCCCAATAGGTGGGATTACAGGCACCCGCCACCACACCTGGCTAATTTTTGTATTTTTAGTAGAGACGAAGTTCCGCCATGTTGGCCAGGCTGGTCTTGAACTCCTGACCTCAAGTGATCTGCCCACCTTGGCCTCAAAAGTTCTGGGATTACAGGCATGAGCCACTGTGCCCAGCCTTGTTCATCTTTATACTCCTGGGGTCTAGGCCAGTGAACCAAGTAGATCAATGTTGCCTGATTGAATTAGTGAATGAAATCATCTCCTCTCAGTGGACTGTAGTTTTCTCATCTATAAATGAAGTGTTCTGCCAACAGTAGAATGATCAGCCTTGACATTCTATGATATCCTGCACCCCGTGGTACAAAACATTAAGTAGTTCCTGTCTAGGTCTTCAGAAGGCATCAGCAATTTAGACCCTTTCTGTATCTTTAGTTTCTTAAACATAAATGCAAATAGGTAATTGTAAACGGGGGAAAACTAAATTAAGTTAAAAGAATACATTTATAATGCAACATTATAACTTTTTTTTCCTTAAATAAAGAGAACTTTGTGAGATTAATTTTCTGCAGAACTTTAAATGTTAGTTTTAAAATATGTTCTTGTTATACTGGGTAGTTCTTAAATATTCAACTTCTCTGGTATGGATTGTCCTTTGAAATGTTTGTTCAGGTTCAAGACCAGCTTGGGCAACATAGTGAGACCCTGTCTTTACCAAAAAAAATACAAAAATTAACTGGGTGTGGTGGCACACGTGTCTGTAGTCCTTGCTACTAGGGAGGACTGAGCTGGGAGGATCACTTGAGCCCCGGAGGTTAAGGCTGCAGTGAGCCGAGACTACAGCACTTCACTCCAGCCTGGGTGACAGAGCAAGACACTGTCTCAAAGGAAAAAGGAGAAATGTTTGTTCTGTCTTAAGATTTCTAAATAAAGACCAGGAAAACAATAAATATAAAGTAACCTTATGGTTCATTTATTCATCTCTTGAGACTCAACACTCATAAATTAATATTATAGATAAATGACCCTATGTCAATCTCATATGTAAGTGGTAGCTTTTGAACCTCAGCTTCTACATAATATATCTGGGTTATTTATAAATGGAATTTGTCACACACAAATGATGTTTCATGAGAAAGAAGATTCAGTGCTTTGTAAATCTCTCCTTTCTGTCCCACGGCCACTGCCCAGACACTTTACTTCAAATTTGGTTTTATTTTTACCATTGAATTGATTAAAATGACATTTAGTTGCCCAGAAAGTAAAAGAGGTCTTCAGCACAAAATGCTGCTCCAACAAGCAAGCATAAATCACTGAGACTGAAATGTCATCTATCTTCATTGGCCAACCACATAATCTCCATGAAAATTCTCAACAGAGAGTCAGGAACTCACTTTCTTCTAAGCAATGACGATTTGGATTTGCCTGGTGGCACTGGCATCTCATGTCTGGATGTCAGGTGTTGGCCTGGTACCTTTCTCCCTTATCAGGGGGACATTTGGAACCCAGCTGCACCAATATTCTCATGGATGGTGGCCTTTGATTCTTCTAGATTCAAGATTTGGCTCTTGTACTTTTCCTGCCAGTCCTCTACGATGTACTGGTGGTAGGGGTCGTTGGAGTGTTCCTGTCTCTTGGACTTCACGGTGCTCACCAGGATGGCCACAATGATGAAAGAGAACATTCCGATCATCACCATGAGGTACAAGATGACGTAGTTGAAGTTCTCAGCATCCACTTTGGCTTGGAGGGCCTCTTGCTCAGCTGTCATGTTCCTGCGCCAGTCGTCCATATAAGTAATAAAAATCCTTTGGAAGACGCCTTCCAGCGTCCGTGTGAAATTGGATAAAATAGGCATGTTTCCCTCCTGCTGCAGTTTAAATAATAAAACAGGTGAACAAGGTTAGGAAAACAGGTCTTTTCTGGATTTGGCTATGTAAGGGGAGGGAGGGAGGTAGGGAGCTGCAGGGGGAGCAGTAATAGTATTTCTTCCTAACCCGGCTGGTGATTGAATGCATATTTTGTTAGTCTCTATAGTGACCATATACATTTTATTCACTGTTTTACAATGCATGATTATTGTACAATAAAAATTTTAATGGCAGGCAATTATATATATACTTTGATATCTATATTGCATATAAATGTATACATATATATGAAAATGGAGAACACATTAGAAATACTAGATCAAAATGTTAATAGTGGGTGGTGTACTTAAAGATACATCTGGCCGGGCGCAGTGGCTCAAGCCTGTAATCCCAGCACTTTGGGAGGCCGAGGCAGGTGGATCACGAGGTCAAGAGATTGAGACCATCCTGGTCAACACGGTGAAACCCCGTCTCTA